AGTCGTAATACTCTGCGAGGATGAGGCTGGAGTAACTCAAGTTAAAGGCCAGCCTGGAACATAACAAGACCCATGAAAATTGTACATATTTGGGGCAGGGATTAGCTCACTGGTTCCGCCGCCTGCTTTGTAAGCACAAGTGACCCAAGTTCGATCCCCAGTACAAAAAAAAAAAAAATTATAAATATTTATTTTATAAAACATTTTTTGGGGGGTGTTGGTTGAGACAAGGTCTCACTGTAGTTCAAAACAATCTTCAACTCACTATGTATTCCAGGTTGACCTTGAACTCACAGCAGTCCTCCTCCCTCAGGCTCCTGCATTCTGGGATTACAGGCGTGTGTCACCACTGCCTATAAAACTATTTTTGAGTGGATTTCAAATCTTTACATGGAAAGTCACCAGTCACCTTCCTCCTAATCCAGGTTAAATCCTACTTATTGGTTGTTGATTGATTGGCTTTTTAAGACAGTCTCAAGGCAAGAAGGATCTGCAAGTTCAAAGCCATCCTGGGTAACATACTGAGTTCAAGGCCAGCCTGAACTACATAGAGAGACCCTGACTTAAAAAACAAACAAAAACAGGCCAGGGATTTAGCTCAGTGGTACTGTCACCTACCTCGCAAGCTCAAGGCCCTGAGTTCGATCCCAATATCCAAAAAAAAAAAAAAAAAAAAAAAAAAAAAAAAAAAGTGCAACACCAAAAAAAAAAAAAAAAAAAAAAAAAAAAAAAAAAGTGAAATTCCTGAGAAGGCAAGATAGAAAAGAAGCCAGAGCACACAAGGATCCCCAGTACTAAAAAATAAAAATAAAAAATAATAGAAAAAAAGAAAACAAAAAATGTCCAAGGGCTGAGGATATGGCTCAGGAGCAGAGCACCTGCTAGTTATGTGCAAGGTCCCAGGTTCCATCCCAGGGCCACAAACAAAAATCAAAGTATGACCCAGACACTAGATCCCTGTCTCACACATCACCTAGAATGCAGAAGCTCTTGTTAGTGTGCACTTGGTGCTCCTGGAGAAGCATATGAACCAGAGTAACTAAGAACTAGTCAGTGATTTCCTGTAATACACACACACAAAAGTCCCTTCCTGCAGCCGGGGTAGAGCTCAGACATAGAGAGTTTCCTGGCATGCATGGGGCCCTGGATCAGTCCTTAGCATTTCAAGAGAAAGTGGGGTCTGATGGGTCACAGAACCCTGTGTGCATAATCCAATTGTGTTCTAAAGAATGGTGGCAATGATACATTTTAATATTGAATATATTTTACAACAAATACTGGTGGTTCAAGCCTGTGATCTCAAGCTCTTAGGAGGCTGAGGCAAGAGGACCATGAGTTCAAGTTCAACCTGTGTCATGTATGCAGTATGACGCCAGCCTAAACTACATAGTGGGATTCTGCCTCAAAAGAAAAATAAAAGTGTGGTGTGGGGGGTAGCAAAAGGCTTGAATGGACATTTTTAAAAATTATGTACAAAGGATCAATAAACACATGAAATTCTGCTCAATGGCTTTTGTTATTTACACTGTGAAACTACACATCTTTTCTATTTTATTTATTTGTGCTGTATTTGGGACTGAACCTAGGATCTTTGACCTGAGCTACATTGCCAGCCATTTTATTTTTTTAAATTTTGAGGCACTGTTTGTCTAAATTGCTAAATTACCCAGGCTGTGCTTGAACTTGTGATCTTCCTGTCCCAGCCTCAAATAATGGTAGGATTATAAGCATGTACTACACACCATGTGGAAGCTGTCAATCAAAACCAGCAAGATGCTGGGGATTTAGCTCGGTGGTGCTGCGCCTACTTGGCAAGCTCAAAGTCCTGAATTCAATTCCCAGTACCAAAAAAAAACAGAATCAACCAACATGATATTTCACTTGACACTCATGAAGATGGCTGTTTATCAGAGAGATAGAGGGATACAGAGATATTAAATGACAATTGTTGGAAAGAATGTGGTACATTTCCTCTGGGTATGTAAAATGGTGTACAAAAAGTTTGGCAGTTATTCAAAATGTTAAATATAGAAATGCCGAATTATCATATAATACAGAATTCCATTCCATGTACAGTATATACCCAGGAGGATTAAAAACAGTTCTAACAAAAAATTGCATGTGAATATTCTGCAGAGGAGGAAAATTGTTTTTTCCTCAGATTATGCTTTCTTTTTTCTCTTACCCTTTAATTAATTAATTTTTGAGGGGCCAGGGGCCAAGGATTGAGCACAGGGCCTGCATGGCAACTTCTACCATGAAGCCACACCGCCAGCTCTTTTTTGTTTGTTTGTTTTGAGACAAGGTCTTGCTACTATTGCTCAGGCTTGCCTCCAACTCCAGGGCTCAAACAATCCACCTGTCTCAGCCTCCTGAGAAGCAGGGATACACATACATAGCACCATATCTAGGAGATTGTATTTTTGTTTTTGTTTTGAATTTTGTTTGTTGGTACTGGTGATTGAATTTGGGCCCTTGGGCTTGTAAGGCAGGCGGTAGAATCATTGAGCCAAATCCCCAGCCCTGGTTTTGATTTTTGAGATAGGGTCTATCTATGTAGCAGCTGGCGTCATATTCACAGTGATCCTCCTGCCCAAACCTACCAAGCACTGGAATTATAGATGTGCACCACTACACCTGGCTTTAATCCAGGACCCTTCCACCAAGCTACATCCCTAGCCTTTTATTTTTTAAATTTTAAGACAGAGGCCTGGGGGTTTAGCTCAGTGGCACAGTGCCTGCTTGGCAAGTGAGAAGTCCCAAGTGTGATTCCCAGTACAAAAACAAAGAAAGAAAAAATTAAGACAGAATCTCACTAACCTGCCCAAGTTGTCCTTTTTTTGGCGGGGGTGGGGGTGAGACTGGGTCTCACTATGTAGTTGAGACTGACCTGTAACTCACTATGTAGCCCAGGCTGGTTTTGAACTCATAGCGATCCTCCTGCCTCAGCCTCCCGAGTGCTGGGATTACAGGTGTGCGCCACCACACCTGGTGAGGTTGTCCTTGAATGTGTGATCTTCCTGCCTCAGTTTACCAGAGTGCTGGGATTACATGCATGTATCACTACGTTTGGCTCACAACAGTATACTTCACTAAATTGCAATAAACTATAGATAGTTTAATAGGAAGATTTTCCTTAAATCTGGAAAAACTGTCCAATGGAGTAGCACACACCTATATTCCCAGCACTCCTAGAATTCAGAAGGCTAAGGCGGGAGGAAGGTGACTAGGATTTGGAGGCCAGCCTGGGCTACATAGGGAGAAACATGTCTCAAAAACAAACAAATCTGGAAACACAAAATATTAAAGAAACAGTAACCACATGTGCTTTTACATGCTTTTATCCCAGCTACTTTGAAGGTTTAGGTGGGAAGATCCAAACCAGTATGCACAATTTCCAAGATTGTCTCAAAAAAAAAAAAAAAAGTGAGGGTTCCAGTTCCAATCCTTAGTAGAAAGAGTGAGAGGGGAAAAAAGTAATGTTGGCCATAAAACTTAATAACTAATGCTTATGGTGGTACCTTGCAAATAATGTGCTAAATCAAAGAATCCAAACACACACATGTATTGTACAATTGTATTTAACATGAAAGATCTAGGAAAGAAGCCAAGCATGGTGCATGCCTGAAACCCGAGCATCTAGGAAGCCGAACAAGGAAGATTAGGTTTGTTCGAACTACTGCAGGTAGCAATGAGGCTGGAGATTAGGGTGTCGAAAAACAGCTGCACAAGTGGGCATGACCTGTCAGTCGTGGCCAAGACACATGCTCAGAACAGTTTCCCACTCCTGCACCTAGAGATACAAAATGCTGCCTTAGAGGATCAAACTGGGGGGCCGGGGATTTGGCTCAGTGGTTCTGCCACCTTCCTGTCAAGCGCAAGAGCGTTCCTTGGTACCAAAAAAAATCAAAACCAAAAAAAAAAGAAAGAAAGAAAAAAGATAGAGCTGGGTTCTGATAGGACAGCCTACATCTATGATCTACCACAGAGTGGGGTATAAAATACAAGATGTACTGGCCCTCTACCCACTGCCTTTTCTCTTTCAAATGGCCTGCTCTGCATGCATGGTGGATTTTCTTTTCCCATCTTCCACTCTGTAGAGTCCTTCCTTTCTTCTATTTTCACGATCAGTAAATGTTAAACCTCTATGTTCTTTGTTTTGTCCGATTCTTTGAACAAAACAGGAGCCTGGAAGGGACCCCACAATTTGGTGAGACCTGTCAACAAATAAGGTGTATGGCAACAAAAATTATTAGTCATTCTCAATGGTTAGGTTACTGGGGATTGGAGGGTGACTGCTTAAAAGGTTTAGGTTTCTACTGTAAGTGACGAAAATGTTCTGATACTGGTGGTGCTGATGGTGGCACAACCTTATACTTACACACAACTGTGTATGCTAAAATTTTTCAGCCCCTGCCGGGTGTGGTGGCACACACCTGTACTCCCAGCACTCAGGAGGCTGAGGAAGGAAGATTGCTTGAGAAGTGGTGAGCCTCAAAAATAAATAAATGAAATAAAAGCCCGGTGTGGTGGCACAACGCTGCCGTGCCAGCCACCGGAGAGGCTGAGACTGGGATCAGCCTGAGAAGCTTGACTCAGGACTTGGGAGGAAGCCTGGGCAACATAGGCAGACCCAGACTAAAAATAAAATAGAAAAATAATTAATTGTAGTTAAGCGAGTTTTATCTCAATTTAAGAAAAATACTTCAGATGTCACAGGACACATCCGCCGTTGCAGGATTACTAAACTTCTAAAAAATAGAAAAAAAAAATCATAAAATGGCGGCGACAGGATCACGTGACCACAGTTCTCTCCCTCTCGCTCCCCTTCAGAACAGACTCGCTGAGATAGCGCAGAGATGCAGCCTGCCCATTGTTAAACCAAAGCAATTCTCCAGCCCGCTCGCGTCCTCCCTTCGTAATCAAAGGAGCGAGCCCATGGCCGGCGATTCAGGGAGCGCGCACGTAGACGTCAAGTCGCAAGCGCCGTGCTTCGGAGAGACGGGGCGGGGCGAGCAGCGTGGAGGGAGACGGGGAAGTTGGCGCATGCGCCGGAGGCTGACGGGTTTGAAATGGCTTCGGTGTTAGCTGGGACCCGATTCAGGTGAAGGTCTGGTCAGCGCTTATTTGGAAAGGTGGGCGGCCGAAGTGGGATTCTTAATAGCTTGTCGGATCCGCGGGAGGCCTGGGGACTCTCGTCTTGGTGACCCGGAGGTTACAGGCCGGCGACGGTGGGGCTCTCGTGGGACCGGGGCGGGAGGGACGCGGTCCCTTTTGTGCGGG